TAATTATCTACTTCCGAATCCTTCTCTCTCCGAAATAGCCATATACAATACACGTGATGCATATACGCAAAGTTACGCATCTGTGTATTGTTATATGGCTTTTTAGGAGATGCGAGATGCGAGCGATATTTGAAGATGCGAGTGGTCAAGAATAGGTCCCCAGAGACGGCGCTGGTTGCCGGAAAGCAGAAACCTGCCTCCACTATGTTCGTACCCTTAGTTCGGCATAAAAGTTGTTGTCGCGACACCGTACAATAAATTAAAATTCGTAAAATAAATTAAAATTATTGATTAAACAAATCTTTATAAAGAAACGCAAGTATAGGAAATGATATAATATTGTACTATATTATGGTACCACTCGATATGCTTCATAATATTGCAATGTCACCGAAGATCCGTAGTATACCAAATTTAAGCACAATCGAACGCCAGGAAATAGTATCGTAATATGATACTATATTAAGGTAGGTACCACTTTATATGCATCATAGTACCATCATATTACAATTTCATCGAAGACGTAGTATACCAAGTTTAAGCCCAATCGAACGCCAGGAAATGGTATCGTAATATGCTACTACATTATGGTACCTCTTGATATGCTTCATGGTACCATAATATTGCAATGCCATCAAAAATACGCAAGTATAATCAAATATGAGTCCAAATCGAACGTCAGGACGTGGTATCGTAATATGGTACTATATTAAGCTACCACTTATATGCATCATAGTACCATCATATTACAATGTCACCAAAGATACTTACTATACAAAGTTTAAGCCCAATCGAACGCCAGGAGATGGTATCGTATATGGTATTATTATGGTACCTCTTGATATGCCTCATGGTACCATAATATTGCAATGTCATCAAAAATACGCAAGTATATATCAAATATGAGCCCAATTAAACGTCAGGAGCTGGTATCATAATATGGTACTATAGAAGGTACCACTTTATATGCATCATAGTACCATCATATTACAACGTCAACAAAGATACGTAGTATACCAAGTTTAAGCCCAATCGAACGCCAGGAAATGGTATCGTAATATGGTACTACATTATGGTACCTCTTGATATGGTACCATAATATTGCAATGTCATCAAAAATACGCAAGTATAATCAATTATGAGCCCAATCGAACGTCAGGAAGTGGTATCGTAATATGGTACTCTATTAAGGTACCACTTATATGCATCATAGTACCATCATATTACAATGTCACCGAAGATACTTACTATTCAAAGTTTAAGCCCAATCGAACGCCAGAAGATGGTATCGTATATTGTACTATTATGGTACCTCTTGATATGCCTTATGTGGTACAATAATATTGCAATGTCATCAAAAATACACAAGTATATATCGAATATGAGCCCAATTAAACGTCAGGAAGTGGTATCATAATATGGTACTATAGAAGGAACCACTTTATATGCTCCATGGCACCATAATAATAATGTCTCTGAAGATACGTAATAATGTCTCTGAAGATACGTAGTATACCAAGTTTAAGCCCAATCGAATACCATGTATCGTAATATGGTGCCATATTACGGTATCACTTGATATGCTTCGTGGTACCATAATATTGCAATGTCATGAAAACTACGCAAGTATATATCAAATACCGAAAATTTACATATAAAATGACAGCGATTTTCATTTCATAGCCATCGCTAACGCCGTTTTTTCTCGATCGGTATGAACGGTATGAACCTTTGGTATGAACACAATCAAACGTCAGGAAGTGGTGTCTTGGTGGTGTCATAATAGTAGAACAATACTTATTATATTGTCGCCGAATTATAATCAAAATTCAGGATTTAATTACAATCAAAAGTCAGGAACTGATTGTAATTCAGCTCGAAAGATTTAACTCCAACTAACATGGCAAGTTAAATACTTAAACGTATGAAAAAAGAGTTCTGATCAATTTTAATATGTTTAAATGATGTAGCAAATTTGCAGGTAGGTTTTATCAGGAAGTATTACAATATAAATTACACAATGGCAACACTGCATAAAATTCTTTTACATTTCGTTTGTAGAAAACTGTTTTCTTTTAAATTTATTGCCCTCTATTATGTAGTAGCGAAACTACCGCATCAAAATATCTTATTTGGAGACAGGCTTTAAAAGCCTGTCTTCTTTTGATACCTATGATTTTATACATGTAACGAGGCTTCTGTTGCGTAGCTATATATTCTGTGCTTGTACCAACCATAAAAATACTCTAATTCGGTCTAAAAATCTTCCAATCCACTTAATTTCTTCTTAAAATCCTCTTGAATCGCACTTCTGACACCAATTGTTACGGATTCCGTGGGTCCACTAATTTAAACTCATGATAAAATACTTAACGAATTTATTATCTCACTTTATACACACAATAACTAACTATTTAAAAAATTCGTTCACCAAATTGTCCGATTCGTAATAATTTAAAGCGCGGTATATTATGGGTATATTTAAACTTGAAAAACTGCCAACTGCCAAAGCGTGGGCCTTTATATACCCCCTGGCGAGTGTTTCTGGAACGTTCTAAAGAATTCTGTAATTTTCTTTTACTTTCTGGTGAATTCGCCAGGTTCCTCAATGCACGTTGCGGTTATGGAGCAGTAATGCAGTTACGCAACCAGTAATACAGTTTAGCGTTTTTTATATACACCTTAACAATATTTAAAATTAAAAATAGGTGTGTATTAATAATATTAATTTAATATATCCTAAAACTACCGATATTTTATAACTCAAGAACGGCAGGACCAATTTTAATGATCTCTGATTTGTTGCATTTGTCTCCACCTCGAATAGCTATTAAAATATTAGAATAGCTATTAAAATATTGGAAAAATTTGTGGGAAAAAAATACACAGAAATTTAATTCCTAAATAAATCAGGTTTGGAACTGCCGCAATTGACGGCTCACATCACGCCCTCTTATAGCTTATTTGTAATAATTGTTTGTAATAAAAAGTTTACCAACAGTCAGTAAAGAAACACTCTTAGAGAAAGTTATTTCATATGGATTTGAAAGTTACATCAATAGAGTAAAAATTATTTTAAGTCTATTTCACTAGTCTGAAAAAGTAGCAAAATAAGCGTTCGGCATTTAACGTTTTATGTAAAACTGGTTAGGTGTTATTACACCAAATGAAGAAGGATATTAAAGATAATGGATTATACCATATCCCTATCGTAGCACGTTTTTAGATAACTTCTTTATTTTTAAGATTTCGATGGTCAAACATCAACCAAATATTCCTTATGTTTGGACTAAATTTTCTCGAAAATAGACATAATTTAAAATTCCTTTACAATACGGAAATATACTGCAGTTTCGTGATTACAGTGATATATAATTTATATCGTTTTGTAACAAATTGCTCGCTATTTTATGGCAAATGTTGAAGCTCGTCAAACCTTAATCAAGCCTTAATCAAAACACGTGTGTTTGGAATTCTGAGCGTGGCTTAACATGACAGGATTGGGCTAAGCCTTAGGCAGATTTCTGAAATATAATACATATTTTCCTTCGACCACACACCAGACCCCAGAAAACAAAAATTAGAGACATAGAAAGCAATTGTAGCATATCTCCATATGGGCTACCATAAGGTAGCAACTTGTCACCACTGCTATACATATACATTCTTTATCCAAAAAATCCTATATGGGTATTTCGCCAATGCAAGACAATCTACAAAATAAAACAGTTATTTTTTGTAAACACTTCTGCGTTAATACCAAACGGAAACTACTTGTCAGAAGTTAGGTTTACAGATATAAAAATTTGCCTAACGAACAAAAAAATGCTTAACGTTTCGGAAAGTTTATCTCTTTCCATCGTCGGAAGCAAAAAAAATATAAAGAATAAAGAAAAAAATATGTTTAAAATATTTCAATTCAATAACTACTACTATATTTAAATTCGAGAACACTTTAGTTATTTTAATTAATTTAAGTATACAGGGTCGTTCATAAAGTCGTAGCACATCAAAGTTTCATTTTTTAAATAGAACCCCCTGTATATTATTGCATATTTCGGTTCTTCCTTCAATTCTAAGCAAAAATCGAAATACACATAATGTACTTCAAACGAACCGTTTCCGAGTTATTGACTTTTGAAAATATCACTTAAACAATTTGATTTAATTAATTTCGATATGTTTAGTTTCATTTAACTGTGTCATTCTGCCGAAACTGTGCTACTTAATAATATTTGACATTAGTTCCCAAGTTAGCATTTATAGATGTATAAAATGAGAGTATATGAAGTGTGGAAATTACAAAATTTTCGTTTAACATTTCAATTCTTCAATTTATGTACATTGTGTATTACGATTATTGCTTAAAATTGAAGAAAGAATTGAAATATGCAATAATATACAGAGGGTTTCATTTAAAAAAAATAAAGTTTGATGTGACACAACTTTATGACCGACCTTGTATACTTAAATTTATTACCCGCTAATAGATATTTATACTCTATAACTTTTATATTTAACTTTTTGCGGTACCTCCTATATTTTACCTAATAATTAATCGACCGTTTCCATAGATAACAGCGACCCTGTATAGTAGTACCAATAGATCCCCCATTTTTATTGACAAGAACATCTAGAAAAGGCATACACATACAGTTAAATAAAGGCAATATAATATATAATAAAATGTGTTAATAAGCCTAGTGGTTTGGCTTCCAGAAGCACAGATAATGAAAAATACTCCAAAAAGGGACATTTCACCTCCAAATATCCTTAGCTAATCCAAAATAATCAGATTCGCATCGACTTCTGAATTAAAAATCTTTTAGTAAACAAGTCGTGTGAAAAACCATATCACGTTTCATATTATGCTTAATGTTTTTTCAATAATTTTCAGAGAAAAATATGACAAAACACTTCAGATTTGTAGTAAGACAAAAATAAGTATATGAAAAAAAAATTCTCTGAAAGATTACAAGAAAATGATAGAATTAAGGATTGATTTGGAGATATGATCATATATTAAATATAAATACGTTAGACGTGGGTTCTATTAGTTTGTTCTAATTAATTTTTATTGAAGTGAACACAAACAAAAGTCGAAATTATATCCAGAAAATGAATTTATTCATATATGGTTGTTTGCTTGTCCTTGCAGTGTCAGCAGATGATGATACCTGGTCAAATTTTAAGGTAAATTAAGTTAATTTTTTTAAATGTCTCTCATAGCTTTGAATAAAAATATCTACTAAAGGTGAGTTTATATGCATCCATCAAGCAGCATCCGTCTTTCCGTCACTCCAATCATGTTCAAGTATTAGCTGTCATTTTTGAAGTAAGCCAATAAAATTGCATAAAATCAACGACGGATGATGCGTGACGGATGCATGTAAACCCGCACTTAGGAAGAAGCATATCAACCTATGAATAAAAAGATTAAGAAAGGAGTATAATGCTATCCATGTATTCATGCGTGGTAGACGGAGGTAGCGCCCTAGGGTGGGGATCCTTGACAGTTTTGTTTGACACATTTGAATTTAATTTAAAATTATGTGGATTTGTCAGTCTTTACTGATCTTATTTTATGTTATTTAGTATTTATTGAACTACTGATAGTTGTATAAAGGTAGTAAATCTGGCAGAAATTAAATTAACAGTGACACTATTGCGATTTATCAAAAAAAGACTGTAAAATAGTTGGTTGTATAGCGTACGCTAGATCTCGGTCAAAAATCGAGGGAAATAATGGAATAACTTTCCGCTAGTAGATGACTATATAATATACTCGTACATGCGTGTAGTAAACCGATCATGTATGAAATTCACTAATTATATAGTGAGTTTCCTACGATGTTCTCTATGGGCATCTCTGAAACTACTGGAGATAGAGAGTCGATTAAATGGGGAAAGAATTGCAGTTTTGAAGGGTCATAAATATGCGCCTTTCAGATTTTTGAAAAAGTTCATGGCTTACTAGATATTTCGAAAAAAACAAATTTTGGCTATTTTAAAAATTGTCCCTAATTCCATTATAATCTATTTTAGACAAAATGCGTTCAGATAAAAGTTGTAGATAATCACATTCCTAATGAGTTCGTATTCTCCGATTTTTTCTAAAGCCTGTCATTTTTGACATATGACACAAACATATGTTTTTTTAAATGGAAACCATAGTTGGTCATGACTTCATAAAAAGCGCCATTTTTTAAGCTTTTCAGCGATATAAGCTATACTATGTTTTTTCACAAAATTATTGAGTTATAGCCAATTCATATCTTTCTTGAAGAATTTCACTTAGTTAGCCATGGAAACAAGTTCAATCGTCGTTGCTCTCAGAAATGTGAAATTGTCACATTAAATCTTTCTAAATTAAAATAAACAAAAATTGTAAATAAAAATTTTTCAAATGAAGAAAAGCGTGTAGGATTATTGGTTCAAATTTTTTGGGCCATACAGTTTCGAGGATACGTTGACCGATAAAAGTTACTTACGTTTTTTAGAGAACGGTTTTCAATTTTGTTATGACTTATAACTTATAAAAAGACAAAATATATTATTAAACGGCTCTTTACAATTTACATTACACAAACTAAAACTTAAAAAAATTATATCACTACATACACTTTATGTTATTTTAGAAAATGTTCAAAAAATCCACAATTGTTTTGAGTACATAAATGCATCTTTTTAAAACTGAATTTCTAGCTATTCTCACAGAACGACCGGTCGCCAGTCGACTTAATTAAACTTCTCCTGTTCCGCCTCTTCGAGTGCCTCTCTTAATTCATAAGTTCTTTTGTAAACGTTGTTGTTAACCATACCACATAAAAAAAATCTAAAATGGATAGGTCAGATGACCGAGGAGACCCATGCAATTGGTCCACCTATTTCTATCCCTGAGTCTACATAATTATGATATAAATAATTTTTAACACTTCTTTCATTGTGGGGGGGTTTGGTGTGTCATAATGAAAATCATATTGGCGCCACTCTATTAATGCGCGAGTATCTAAATTTATCTTTTCTAACATGTCTTGAAAACCGTTCTCTAAAAACGTAAGTAACGTTCACCGGTCAACGTATCCTCGAAATTGTATGGCCAAGAAAAGTTGAACCAATAATCCTACACGCTTTTCTTCATTTGAAAAACTCTTTAAAAAACTTTAATTTACAAAGATTGGATGTGACAATTTCACATTACTGAGAGCAACGACGATTGAACTTGTTTCCATGGCTAACTAAGTGAAATTAGTCACGAAAGATAAGAATTGGCTATAACTCAGTAATTTTGTGAAAGAAACATATTATAGCTTATATCGCTGGAAAGCTTAAAAAAATAGCGCTTTTTATGAAGTCATGGCCAACTATGGTTTCCATTGAAAAAAACATATGTTTGTGTCATATGTCAAAAATGACATGCTTTAGAAAAAATTGGAGAACACAATCTCATTAGGGATGTGATTATCTACAACTTTTATCTGAAAACTTTTTGTCTAAAATAGATCATAATAGTCAATTTTTAAAATAGTCAAAATTTGTTTTTTTCGAAATATCTAGTAAGCCATGAACTTTTTCAAAAATCTGAAAGACGCATATTTATGACCCCACAAAACTGCAATTCTTTCCCCATTTAACTGACTCTCTATCCCCAGTAGTTTCCGAGATACCCATAGAGAACATCATAGGAAACTCACCCTGTATATTTTTTTGAATTTTTGCTTTTACTACTTGTCAAAGATTAGATGTCAAAGAATTTAGATACGTCAATTTGACTTATCCGCTTCAGTAGCGTATCGGATGTTTGTGTTAATAAATAATTATTATAAATTATCTATTTTTATTAGGCTTAAATATTTTTATAACAATTTTAATAACTACCAACATTTATTCACAACGTAAAATAAAACAACAAATTATTGAGTCTACGCCATTGCGAGCGAAACTAAACTAAGCCAAGCGAAGATAAGATTTGTAAAAATCAGCTCCCATACTTTTAAATTCATCAGCGGCCACTTAAGCGAAACTAAACGAAAATATATGAACGAAGATTCGAATCGTAGTTTAGTTTCGCTCGTTTTAGTTCGTGACAGGTTCCAGCGAATTTTTCGCAGCGGTTAGTTCTATGATAGCAGAGATACAGTACGAAAACGCAGCTAACTTAGCTGACTACTGAGCGAAAATCGTTCCGAGTGGTCGATGAAACTTATTTTCGTTTAGTTACCGTTTGTTTTTATATTCTTAGCTTAGTTTAGTTTCACTCGCAGTGGCCGCTCGTCTTTATACAGATGGTGCACTTATTTCATCTTGCTGATAAACGCCGCTCTGAACTTGGACATTTAAGGCAGACTAGACTAAAAACGGTAACTAAACGAAAATAAGTTTCATCGGCCACTGGGAATGATTTTCGCTCATTAGTCAGCTAAGTTAGCTGCGTTTTCGTATTGTGTCTCTGCTATCATAGAACTAATCGCTGCGAAAAATTCGCTCGAACCTGTAACGAACTAAAACGAGCGAAACTAAACTACGATTCGAATCTTCGTTCATATATTTTCGTTTAGTTTCGCTCAAGTGACCGCTGATACATTTAAAAGTATGGGAGCTGATTTTTACAAATCTTATCTTCGCTTGGCTTAGTTTAGTTACGCTCGCAGTGGCCGCTCGCCTTTAATAAGGCTATGGCGTTGTCAGACTTCGTTTTTTTCCCGAATGCATTGTTGCCTTTTGTAAAAAAATGTATTCCCAATTGAAATAATATTTAATCTGTGGAACAGCTTGTAACGATTTGTCATACGTATACGCTTTAAATAGGTTCATATGTTTCTCCGTCTTACCGATAACTAATCTGTGTTAATCTGTGACAATGACTGACAGATTTCGTCGATTCCATTTCTAAAGCCTCGTCTATACGTGTCGTTTTACCTGTCACGTATGACGGATTAAAAACTAGCGTATACAGAGGGTACGATTTTGATTTGTTTTGTAGCTACAGGGTGTTAGTCTTAATATTCTTTGGATTTATTATAATTTCCTTCCTAATACTTTGAGCGATTCGAATGCAATTTTGAGGGTAAAAGTTACAATAAGTGCTACATATTTTAATGCTAAAAAAGTGGAGATAAATTCATCAGGAACGTGCATATGGGTTATCACTGGAATATGTTTAAAAAAAGCATGTGCGCCACTGATTTTTTTCTTTTGATATAAAAATGGAGACTAAAATTGACTAAATGTCAAGAGAAAACTTTTAATCGGCATTAAACTGCTTACACTATTTCGCTAACAAGATAAAAAAAAAGTCAGTGGCGTACATGCTTTTTTTAAAAAATTATTCCAGTGATAACCCATATGCACGTCCCTGGTAAATATGTCGACACTTTTTTAACATTAAAATATAAAGCACTTCTAGTAACTCTTACCCTCAAAATCTCATTCGAAACGCTAAAAGTACTTGGAAGAAAATTATAATAAATCGAAAAAATATTCAGACTAACACCCTGTAGCTACGAAACAAACCAGAATCGGACCTATGTTGATATGAAAAATAAACCTTATTTTTACATGAGGAATCTCCCCACGAGAGATGGCACATGTTTTTTGAAACACCCTGTATATTGGAAGTTTTAACTGCTGTTTTAAGTTTTAACATTTATAGCAATGTGTTTAGGGAAGTTGAATAGAAGGAAACGTGAAATTTTACTATAAAATTTTATGTATAGTACAGTAAAAATAAAAAACAATTGTAGTTTTGTTTTCAAGCCATAAAATATGTTAATTTTTTCTAGGTAAAATATAGCAAAACGTACAACCTTACCGAAGCAACTCTCAGAAAAAGCATCTTTGAAGCCAATTTACTGAAGATTCAAGAGCACAATAAGAAGTACGATCAAGGCTTGGTAACCTACAAATTGGGCATCAATAAATTTGCAGACTTAACAGCTGACGAGTTTTCTGCCAGACTTGCCACGAATATCATTAGTTTGGAAAGCCTATCACTTCCTAACGGTACTTTGTACACACCTAATGAGAATTTGAGTGTTCCAGAGTCCATTGATTGGAGAACGAAAGGAGCTGTGACAGGTGTCAAAAATCAAGGTCTTTGTGGTGGTTGCTGGGCTTTTAGTGCGGTAAATATTACAATGTTTTTTGTTTTAAATAGTAAATGACAACTGGTTGTTTACTTCTTCTTGTTTTGCTAGTGCAGATCCATTAATGGATGTTTGCAATAACATTTTCCATTGCCTTTCTGTTCCGGGCGGTGTGTATTAACGACTGTACATCGTGTAGCCCTCTCCACTGTTTAATATTCCTCAGCCAAGAAATCTTCTTCCTTCCGATAACCCTCCGGCCTTCGATCAACAAATGTAAGAATTGATATTTGGGGTTTCGCATTAGGTGCCCCAAGTATGCAGTTTTTTTCTTTTTAATCATTTCAAACAATTCACACTCTTTGTCAACACGTCTGAGAACTTCTTCATTTGTCAACCTAGCCGTCCGAGGTATCTTCAGGATTCTGCGATACATCTCGAAAGCCTCCAATTTGTTGATGGTAGCTGCTTTCAATGTTCAACCTTCCATACCATAAAGAAGCACCGACCACACAACACTTTACGAATCTTAATTTATGATTAAGGTCAAAATCAGAACAGACAAGTACTACTCGAAACCTAAAGAATGCCTACCGAGCTTGTTCGATGCGACATTTAATTTCCTTGTCTGATGTCCAATCTTCGGAGAGCCAGATGCCCAAGTACTTAAGTTTATCTACTCTTTCTATGGGTCTTGTGTTAAATTTTGGGATGAAGTTTATAAACACATCTGGATTTCTGGATATTATCCTAAATTTGGTATTCTTGATATTGATGTTTAAACCCATTGCTTTGCTCTGTTCTCCTACCTTGTTGACCAGTTGTTATAGGTCGTGTATAGTGTGCAATTAAGACCGTATCGTCGGCGTAGCGGATATTATTAATCCGGTTGTAATTTCCTGGTATTATTAATTTAAACAAAAGCTTTTATTCAATATTTCTAAGGTCTGTAACTGCGTTCGTATTTATTAGAAATTTCTTGTTAAGTGAGGCCAGACATTTAGATAGGCATTCTTAACACTGCCACATGCCGGATACTGGTTGCAGTCAGGGGAGGAAACATCCCCAAAGGGGCGACCATGACGGTCTTTCTGCCGAGGAGCAAGTGGAAAGGCAATACCTACCTGTTGAGTCTTAATCAGGCTCAGAACTTTAATGTAAGGATATCGAGTTGGCGAGTTATCCCCTCAAGGTTCGTGGTCAGATTTTAGGAGATAATATAGAAAGAGGGATATATGCTTTATTATAAACTTGAGACAACACCGGTATCAGGTCTAAGGAGAGACCAAGTTAAGGAGATAGAGACAATGAAGACAGATCCTCCAAAGCTCCTCGACTGTGAAGGTCACGAAGAGCCAAACCCCAACCGTGAAAGGGTGTATATCCTCGTATAGGAGGTAGATGCCGACTCCTCGTAGGATGAACATTGTTGTCAACAGTGTTGTTGAAACAATAACTGTTGATAGATGAGATTGGGAAATACCCTGTCTCCCCTGCAACAGGAAGATCTCCATGTATGATGAGTTCTAGACTGTATGATGAGTTATAACTCAAGAAAGAGGAACACAATAGATCTTTAAGATCGCGGTGATTCACCCCTCTTTCATTCATTCTAGATTCTGACAGTGCCACATTATATAACATTTATTAAATAACGTTTACAATATTTTCTAAAATGACAGTACCAAGCAGTGGCAGTTCTTCAATAAGTTCAGATGTGCACTTGAACCCCAAATTTAATGTCTCTTTTTGAGATAAAACTAAATTTTATCATTGTTTATTAATTCTATTTATATGAAAAATGGTTCGTCATAGACTTGAAAGTAATATATATAGAAATACTTGAAAGTAATAAAATAGATAAAAAATTCTGAGAATGTCTTATCTGGATTTAATTAATTAAACATATGTATGTATCTATCACTTTCTAAACAAAATTTTCAATTGCAATAATATGCTGGCTATACGTACCGTACCAATTCCGCAAGGGTTATCTTTTATCAGATCATATCTATAATATACAGGGTGGTCCAAACTGTATTCCGGAAACTTCGGCCCAGCATATTCTGCAGATAAAAATCAGTAAAACATTTCTCGTATTATAATATTAATTCGTATAAATGTATGTGCCTAAAATGCTTAGTTTCGGATACAGGGTGTCTCATTTTTATTTCGATTTTTTTTCAAATAATTTATGAAGTAACGTCAATATTTGGATGAAAATTGACATTTGACGAAATTGACGAGTTTTTTGATATGAGAAATTTTATTTTGATGTCAATGTTACTCCTACTTGTAGAGGGCGCCACCTACATATTTTTTAACAAGTTTGAAAAGTAATAACTTTTCGTCCGGACCTGTATAAAACTACTTAGTAAAAAAACATACATTTACGACGTTTTTTACATAAAAAAGGTCTCTTGGTAAAAACCGTTACGATTAATGTTTCTCCAGATATTTGGAATCGAAATTATTAATACCTATGATCATTGACATAAGTTAAACATGTTGACTAGATAGTTATTAAACTGAAATCATAAATTTGAAATGTTTTTGTGCCAAAAGTTCAACAGAAACTGTTTTTATCATCATTTCTTCGTAGAAAAATTTATGATTAATTTAAAACAATAAAAATTTCCCAAATTTATTATTTCAGTCAAATAATGATCTACTCAACGTGTTTATTTGTTGGCAATAATGACATGTATTGACTATTTCCATTCTAAATATCTTGAGAACGGTTCCTCGTAGCGATTTTTACCAAGAGACATTTTGTACGTAAAAAGTCACGGCAATGTATATTTTTCCACTCAGTAGATTTATACAAGTACGGACGAAAAGTTATTACTCTTAAAAACAGTTAAAACACATGTAGGTGGCGCCTCCTACAAATAGAATTTTTAGAATTTAGAATGAGTGGGAGGGGGGTTAATCACTTCGACCTTACAGATCCATTGTGTCCCCCTTTCTTGAATCATAACTCATCATACAGTCCCAGGGCTTTGACAAAAGCCAGTATCTGGGACGGTTTTATAGAGGGTAGTTCTCCATCTCCAATATCAGTCGTACCAAAATTCATGGCACGAATGGTTTGTCGTCTCAGCGCACTCAGTGATGAGGTGTACTGGTGTTTCACCATCTTCCCCACAGAATCTGCATTCGCCGTTTCTTCTTAGTTTCAATCTACTGAGGTGTTCATTGAGGAGACAGTGTCCTGTTAAAAACCCCGTGACAATCCGAAGATTGTTCTTACTCAGACCTAGGAAGATCTGTGATTTTTATTGATCATAAGCCCTCAGAAACTTCTTCGAGTGTCCTAGACCATTGCAAGATTTCCATTCCAGGTTGCGGATGGAATCTTCCAAGTTCTTGAGTTCCTCCTTGAGTTGGTTACCACTTGGAAAGCAGAACGGTTCTGGTCCAGTTAGTGGAGTGTTCGCTCCTTTTCTACCTAGATTATTTGCTTTTTCATTGCCTTTTATCCCTTGGTGAGCAGGCACCCAGTGTAGGAGGACTTTGTTTTCTTTGCCTAATTTATTCAGCTTCTCTATGTATTCTTTGACCAATTTCGAATTGATTGAGACTGAGTTGATCGCCTTTAACGCTGCTTGACTATCAGATAAGATGGCTATTTCTTGTTTCCGATAGTTCCTATCTAAGATAAGTTGTACGCATCTCTCGATAGCGTAGATTTCTGCCTGTAGGATACTAGGGCCCATTGGTTCGGAGTAATTAGCTCTCGGCCCAAACACTCCGATCCCTGTTCCCGTATTGGATTTGGAAGCATCAGTATACCAAGTTATGGTATGGTCTTTTAACTGATGGGCAAGCGTTTCGCTCTTCCAATCCTTCTTATTGCTCAATACTACATTGACATGTTTGTCAAAGTTGTACGTTCTTGGCATATCGTCCACTGGGAGTTGCAGGAGTGGTACTTCCTTTTTGAGGGTGTTCCAAGCCCCTGATCTGACAATTCTCCCAGTACTAATTCCGTTAGTGACCATTCTAATCATTTCGCATGGGCATCTCTACCAATGACAATGTGCAGTGGTGTTAGATCTAGAATGACCTCCATTGCTGCTGTTGGACAGGTTTTCATGGCTCCTGTGATACAAACGCATGCTAGTCTCTGGACTTTGCACAAGTTTAGCCTTGCCGTCCGTTGCTCTAGTTTTGTGAACCAGGCAACTGCTCCATAAGTAATCATGGGTCTTACTATCATGGTATACATCCAGCGCAAAGTGTTAGGGGAGCAGCCCCATCTATTTCCGGCCAGTCTTCTGCATATCATGAGAGCCTTTATGGCTTTGCTGGTAGTGTTCTTAATATGCCTGTTCCACAGGAGTTTACTGTCCAGGGTTATTCCCAGATATTTAACTTCCTGTGTTGGCAGTATTACCTTTCCATCTAGTTGAATTCTTTTCAAGTTTTTCAGACTTCGCTTTCTGGTGAATGGCACTATCGCGGTTTTGTCTGAGTTGATACTCAGCACGACAGTCCTACACCATCTCTCAGTGATACGGAGTCGTCTTTGGATAATATTACACAGGGTGCCTTTTCCCCCGAGCGATGATGACTATGTCATCTGCATACCCAATGCAGTGTATTCCCGCTAGAGTTAATTCGTCTAGTAGTTCATCCACTACCAAGCTCCACAGCAAAGGGGAGGTTACTCCACCTTGTGGAGTTCCTTGCGTTGTTTTAACAGCTACAGTTTTGGTGCCCATCTGAGCCTCTGCTGTTCGTGTTACAGCATTTCCCAAAACCAGCGAATAATAGTTCTGTTCACCCCTCTTGTTTCTAGAGATCGCCTGACCACCTTATGTGGTATATTGTCAAACGCCCCCGCAATATCCAAGAAGGCACAAATTGCTGTTTCTTTGCTATCCAGACTTGTCTGTATTAGCTCCGTTAATTGGTACAGAGCAGTTTCTGTGGATCTGCCCGTTCTATATGCATGCTGACTATCATGCAGTGGTTTAACCTTTAGATGATTTTCTCCAATATGGTTGTCAACTACTTTCTCCAGCGTTTTTAGTATGAACGATGTGAGACAAATAGGCCTAAATGACTTGGGATTTGTCCAGTCAGTTTTGCCTATTTTGGGTATGAAGATTACTTTTGCCTCTTCTCCATGTGGTTGGTATATATCCCATCGCTAGACTGCTTCTTGTAATGCTTAGTAGATGGTGAGTAGCTATTTGCTGACCCTCCTTTAGAAGGGCAGGAAAGATCCCATCCACTCCTGCTGCTTTATAGGGCTGAAAGGTGTCGATCGCCCATTTCAGCTTTTGTTCTGTTATTACTAGCTTGGCCACTTCCCAATCTTCCCTACATGGATTGTGAGGTTCAGTGGGAGCTACATAAGTATCAATAGGTATGCTACCTGGAAAGTGTGTATAAAGTAGGAGATTTGCTCTCTCTTCCTCTCCTCCTACAAATAGGAGTCATATTGACATGAAAATCAAATTTCTCATGTCAAAGAATTCCCAGGCACCAATTTTTATCCAAATATTCACATTACTTCAGAAATTATTCGGAAAAAATCGAAATAAAAATGAAACTTCTGCACCCTGTATCTCCCAAAATAAGCATTTTAGGACATACCTTTATACGAAATTTTTTACTTATTTTTATCTGCAGAATATGCTGCCGAAGTTCCCGGAATACAGTTCGGACCACCCTGTATTATATTCTACAGCGAAGCCTGAGCGCTTCGTTCACTGCTCATCGCAATATGAGAAGATTCAATTGGTGAAACCTTTGACGCCCGCATCCTTTGTTCTCCGTGACACTCCAGCGACGTTTGATGTATTAATCTGGCCCGTGTGCACATGTATTCCGTGCACTGGGAACTCGCGATTGGTATTATCAGCGTCGTATTGGATGTTCGAATTTCCCGAACTACACAAATGACATTAGCGTGCAATAGATATTTAAATTTCATTGAATGATTATGTCAAATGAAATACTTAGCAATGCTGTTGGTCAAAATTAGAAAAAATCTTTTACGTAACATGATGGGGGGGGGACATCAAACAACTATTTTGTGTAACTCCATGTCCATTCGGTATAAAATATAGCCTGTTTCCCAACTAGTTAGTTGCATAAAAATAACTATTCAATAATGGAATATTTAATTTCTTCTTTTATTATTTACTATAGACCGGTGTGATTGAAGGACAAGTGGCTATCCAAACTGGTAACTTGGTATCCTTGAGTGAACAACAACTCATTGACTGCGACACTACGAATTATGGTTGTTCAGGTGGCGTTGTACAACTTGCCTTCCTCTATGTCCAAGATAATGGACTGATGACAGAAGAGGTTTATCCCTACAAACAAACTGCAAGTTCCTGTAAAGCCACATCTACAAAGTCCAATAAGGTATTTGTGAAGGATTATGTCAATATTAAGCAAGGCAGCGAGGATGATTTGAAATCAGCTGTTGGGTCAATTGGTACGTATTCTAGTCTAATTGAAGGTGGGTCTATTGTAACCTGGTAATATGGTTGCTTAATTTTTGGGTGAAATGCAACAAATACTAAAAAAATGCAGATTGATTATGATTTTGATTGTTAATTTCTGGACGCTATGTTCTTTGTCTGCTCTTAATGTTTTTTTTGCAGTCTGTCTATAGCTATCCAATTTGTTTTGAACCCCCTTTTGTTTTATATTGAAAATTTCTATCACACCGGTATTTTTAACCCGTCAAAATTGTTTATTTTGAGAGGCACCGTGCCAATGCTTGCATCGAAAATTTTTCTCTCTACGATAACCAACGGCGAATATACCGGGCGCGTCTCAAAAATGGCTCACCCCTATAACTTTTATATTTTTTTAGATAAAAAAAAACGAGATTTAGTATGTTAGTATATGACATAAATTAGGATTGATTGACGTATTCAATTGTTTTGGGTTACTTCCTGTTCACCGGAAATCACCACAATTTTTGATTTGTAAATGGCACACTCGAAATTTTTTAAATTTTTTCGATAGAGAATGACACTCTGAATAGAATGACATATCATGTTTGACATTACATATCATCAACTTTTGACATTCTTTGCTTAAAAAATTCGTATTCTAAATTTCAATTTAGAGTGCCAGTGCAACTAAGTAAAATACACCAATTTTTAATCAAGTAGCCTTGGAAAAATAGATTTGATCGTCTAGTATTTTTAGTGTCTTGTCCTGGCCGAATAAAAGATGCTCAAATCGTATTTTTAGTCATATCTCAATTTTTTTTAGGGTTCCGTACCCAAAGGGTAAAAACGGGAACCCTATTACTAAGACTTCGCCGTCCGTCCGTCCGTCCGTCCGTCCGTTCGTCCGTCCGTCTGTCACAAAGGTCTATCTTATGAACCGTTATAGCTAGACAGTTGAAATTTTCACAGATAATGTACAGGGTGGGTCAAATTCGACGCTTTTAAATGGAAACATCCTTTTCTATAGGAGATAGACAAAAACTAATATCGGTGTCTGGAGCTCAATTTTTGTCAAAAACATGATGGTGAAAAACGCATATCGATATCTGTTACCGTTTCGGAGTTACGGGGTGTTTTTCAAAAATATGCATTTTTAACAAATCGCTATAACTTTTTTGCTATGGAAAATTTTGTATTTTTATGAAAACATTTCCAAAGCAACTTTTTACGTAGAATTTAATGGTTTAAGTAATTTTTTTTTAAATTAATATTTTAAGAATTATCAACAGAAAATTTGTTTTTTTATATGGGACACCCTGTATATTTTTAATTTATTAAAAAGAATTTAAAATTACCTTTCCAAAAATATAACACACTTGATATTTTGCTCGATTCCTCTTCGAGATATAGAGTATATAAAAATTCGCCCGCTTTAAATAAGTAGACTTTGAACGACACCGGCTGTAATGCAAAAAAATTCTAGCTGTGAGCATCAATTAAAACGAAAATAATATTTGCTATGAAAGATGCAGAATTTTATAACAATTTAAAATATATTTAACCAACATCAACACATTTAAACTATATCTAATAACAATAAAAATAAATAGCACACCAAGACATGAGATTTTGCTACAGGTGTTCGACATATCGACCGTCTTCTGTTATAGACAGACGGGACAGTTTTTGAACATTTCTCGCGGAATTCATTAACTCATTGGGGGTGAAAGATACCCTCTCATAACTGCTAAGTATTTCTAATTCTTGTCTAGATTATACGGAAGAATAAGGAACCTTTATTCTTCCGCAAATATATCCATAGGATTAGATCCACGGGCACTAAGTCAGGCGGCCTCGATGGCCAACGGCTGGGATCTTGATTAGCTATTCAATTATTCTTGAAATTGGCTGCAAAAATTTGCTGATAACTTCAGCGTTCAGAGGCGGTGCGTCGTCTTGCTGAAAAAATATGTTTTCGAGTTCCATTAACGGCATATCATCAATAAGGGGTCCAAAGCCTACTAGTTAAAACTGGCGAACCTTTAAAAATTCTGTATTTGGAAGGGGATTATAACAAAATATCAAGTGTGCTATATTTTTGGAAAGATAATTTTAAATTCTTTTCAGTTAATTAAAAATATAGAGGGTGTCCCAAATAAAAAATCAATTTTTCTGTTGATAACTCTTAAATTATTAATTTTAAAAAAATTATACTTAAACCATTAAATTCTACGTAAAAAGATGATTTGGAAATGTTTTCATAGAAATACAAAATTTTCCATAGGAGAAAAGTTACAGCGATTTGTTAAAAATGCACATTTTTGAAAAACACCCCGTAACTCCAAAACGGTAACAGATATTGTTGTGCGGTTTTCACCATTATATATTTGATGAAAATTGAGCTCCAGACACCAATATTAGTTTTCGTCTATCTCCTATAGAAAAGGATGTTTCCATTTAAAAGCGTCGAATTTGACCCACCCTGTACAGTCCGTTTGCTGGATCTGTGTCTATGAAAGGAATGCGGACAAAAAACATTTAAATAAATAGCAATATATTTTATACGTCGACTTGACGAGTACGTCACCGCAAATCGCTCCGTCCACTCATTTTATTGGCTACTTGCAAATTTGTCGAATTTTTATTGATGGGACGCGTCGTCTAATTTTTTCTAATTTCTCTCACGGATACCCCGTAGGTACAGAACGGACAGACGTACTGTATCTATGTTGCCGCTAGAAAGCTTGATTTTCATGCATTCATTGTCCGACGATACGTTGATACGTTTATTATACTGATTGGTTAGAAAATAACGCAGTTTTTAAATTTATTGCATTTTCATGCCTCCGTTTATCGGATATACGTTGGTGTCATTTTATATTTTCGTTTCCATAACGATTTTGCTATTTTACTTATATTTTTATTATGGTTATTAAAATTTGTCAAAAAAGTGCCAAAACGTCGGTTATCATATGAACGGGTCCGTTGACGGGCTGAAGTAAAATATTTACGGATGAAAAGTGGCGCGAAAACACTTTGACCAATCAGAGCACCGTCGGACCATCGTATCAACGTATAACGGATGCATGACAATCAAGTTTAAGAACAAATACTAAAAACAGAATTAAATAAATGTTTATAAATAAAAAAGTACTTTCACTAAACATTATCTTTTAAGTAAGAATTTTACATAAAATCTTTCAAGTCCTCGCACGGTGGGGTATTAGTATGAAAAAGGTGAACGAAATTCGAAAAAGCAAATGTGTTTAAGATTTCCCAAAAAAAGATAAATGATAAGTTAAATCATGTCTGCCATGAATGGCGTTGCTATGGGTGTGTTTAGTTGCATTCATTTGTTTCAACGTCAATGTTGTTACTTCTCACAGATAAGAGGTATAGTCTGTAAAACGAATAACTTTGAATTTGACAGTTCTCGCGGGCTTTTCTAGTGTTAATTTTATTAGGTTAGCAACTTGCGGCCATGCTGACACAATGCCGTCTCTAATAGAACAGCCTCGGACCGAGATTTATGACGTCACGCTAGTTAGATACTACGGATTAACAAATATGTTGTAGAATACATGGATAACATAATTATTCCTCGTATTTTTGGTTTGTATTTTAAAAATGATATAGTTTACATAAAATATACATAATATACAGTTAATAAATACAATATATATATACCTATTTATAGTAATAAATACTTTGGCAGATAAACTATGAACCATACAAATGCAGCAAATGTTTTACAATATGGCTGAAATCGTACTCCATAATCAATGTAGATAGATTTTGTGTTAAGAATAATAATTTAAAAAAATATGTGGTCATCTTTTGACAAGTTTATATTAGTTTATTAATTGCAGTAAACATTATAATATATAAATAAATTTTATGAATGCAAATAATAATACATCACTATTAGTAGATATTGAATGTTTTTTGTTAAATTAGATCGATTTTCAAACCCCAAAATTTAAAATATATTTTACATTTTACCAGATTTGTTAAACTACACGTAGTAATTAATAAACTACATTTACTACATGTCACAAGTAGTTTTTTAAATGTCGAGTAGTAAATGTGTAGTTTATGTAACTAATGTAGTTTTTTTAAATAACAGTGAAAACATAACCTAAAGACTTTGTTTGTTGATCAATTTAAAGAAATAAAAAATCTATAGTTTGTGAATTTGTTCCTTATTATTTGATATTTTTGATATTTATTAGTAGTTAAAAATGCTTGGAAGACGTCGATGTCTCCATACCTTGCTCCATACTTTCTGGGAAGAGGGGTATTATGAAGTTTGTGCCTTTAGATGTAAAAAATCATATATTCTCTGGAGAATGTCTATGAAGAATTTGTCCATAAGAATTTATAGTTTATTTTGTGTTCAATGTTACTTTGTATTTCGTAGAAAATACACTTTTGTTGAAAAAAAATTGTCTTTTTTTCTGATGTTGTTTAACTTATACCAAGTATAATATAACTTCATACTTCCATCAGCTTCCATGATAAGAATTTGGCTTGATTTTAGTTTAAAGTCTAAATTGTTTATGTTTTACTATATTTTTGGAGGTAGTTTTTAACGTAGTTTTTGTGTAGTTATTGAAGGTAGTTTTTAAAATTTTAAAACGTAGTTAATACAAAAAACTACGCGTAGCTTTTGACGTAGTTTTTGCTTCATAAACTACTTAACAACCCTGCATTTTACCCATTACCTTATGCACCGCCTATTCATTATTTGTATATTGTAAAACATTTGCTGCATTTGTATGGTTCATAGTTTATTTGCCAAAGTATTTATTACTATAAATAGGTATATATTATATTGTATTTATTAACTGTATATTATGTATATTTCATGTAAACTATATCATTTTTAAAATACAAACCAAAAATACGAGGAATAATTATGTTTTCCATGTATTCTACAACATATTTATTAATCCGTAGTATCTAACTAGCGTGACGTCATAAATCCCGCTCCGTAGCTGTTCTATTAGAGACGGCATTGGTCTAATATTTAGAAATGTCAAAAGCTGATGACATTTTACTTTTGTCAATTATGACATTTCGTGTTGATTTTTGCAAGAAGATGAAGAACTGTCACTTGTTTTATTATTTTCCTTTTCTATTTCACGAAAGTAAAAAGAGTTACCTATATGATTCGTTCAGGCACTCAATTTAAAGAATATCAGTAACTTTTTTGATAGAGGGATTATATATTTGCCATGTTGGTAAAAAATAACGGTCAAAATTCAAAGTTATTCATTTTATAGACTATAAATGGCTAAATTTTATGTTTAAAATTATAAATTGATGTTGTTCTTGTGCTCTTTTTACGTTTATATTATTGTTTTGATTGAAAATGGCTCAGCAAGTTGCAGGTATGTATTCTACAAAAACGTACCTATTATTTATTTTGATATTCTCTATACTAACGATTTTTTTTGCAACTAAAAGTTAGGCGTTCAGAAAATTTGATTAAATCTGTGACATTTCTATTATACTTAGAGATTTAGTTGCGCATTTCGAAGAATTCAGCATATTGTCTATATACGTTTTACTTAGTAAACATTGGGCTTTCATACAGTAAAATAAAATACTGCGACTTTGCTGATAAAATGAGAAAAACATTCTTGGTTTCCTCTAATTTGCCAGACAGTGATATACTAATGCGAGGTGTAAACCGCGATGGCATTGTTGTGTACAAAGCGATCGCATTAGTGCCATTAGCAGTATAGCACAATTTAGCATTAGTAGCGACTTTAGTGGTATGGGCATTGCTCGCGGATCAGTCGTAGCATTAGTAGTATTAGTTGCGATATTACTACTGGCATTAGTAACATTGACCGTGGAAACACTGGAACAGTGAATTTTCTTTATTTTTTAGAATCGACAAATTATCCTTTATTTTGTTCATATTATTTCCTCTTTAATTGAAAATAGCAATAATTTATATAAGGTCTACATAAAAAAATTTCGATCAACTATCTGTGTCAAACACCCCACTGTGCCTCGGTGGCCGCGTGGTTAAAGCGTTAGGACTTTCCGCTGCTATGACGTTGGAGCCGTAGTAATGCAGGTTCGAATCCTAGTCAAGGCGACTTTTTTTTAATCGTTTTTTTAAATTTTTACATATTTATTTTTACTTTTTACATATTTATTATTGATTAATACAATTTTTAGTAATGTGTTAAAAAAAGTTTATAATAATATAGTGTCTAATGTTGTATAGATAATGAATGGTATGGAATCCTTCGTTCCCGAGTCCGACTCGCACTTGACCAGTTTTTTCAAATTGAACGAGGCTGGCTTATTAGCATATTTGGAAAAATAATTTTTTTACGAATAATTTGGTACCACACACTTGATATCTCGAGTCAAATTGTCGTTACATTTATGGCAATGGCTCTCTAAATTAAAATTTAATGCTATTTTTTTTTTAATTGAAAATGTCAAAAGTTGACAGATGCTTTGTCATTTTCTATCCACTGACGTAAAGAAATACCAAGGGTGTCATTTAAAAATCTAAGGTTGTAATCATTTCCGGTGAAACAGAAAGCGATGGAAAAGAATTGAATAGGTCAATCAATCGTAAGTTATGTCATATACTAACATACCAAATCTCGTTCTTTTTATCTAAAAAAATATAGAGTAGAGTCACTTTTTAGACGCATCTTGTACAGAATAATAATATCGGCAAAATAAAACACTAATTTTTTTAAATGTAATTTGTTTTTTAGGACCGGTATCCATTGCCATGCAAGCAGATTCAATTCAATTCTATGAAAGTGGAATTTTCGAAGGAAGTTGCACTGGTAGTTTGAATCATGGAGTTTTGGCCGTTGGTTACGATAAAGACAGTACCACCGGGACCTACTACTGGATCATGAAGAATTCTTGGGGTACCAGCTGGGGGGAGAGTGGTTATTTCAGATTAAAAATGGGGAGTAACCTGTGCGGAATTACTACCCAATCCTGTTACACCACCTACTCACACTCAAATAACTTAGTAAAAAATAATTTGCTAGTAGTTTTTGGCCTAGTCGCAGCAGCACTCAGGTTACTTTACAAGATTTAAAATGACGGTGAATTAAAGAAGTATTTAAAAGATACCAAACAGAAAACCATGAGATTTATAACTAGACAATATTATACAACTAAATAAGTGTTAAAATTGTGAAGTTGTAAAGTGAGACTGAAATATGTATGAATAAATGTTTTTTGTAAGATATAAAGAAGTTTAAATTTTCTATATCTAATGTGTACAGCTGTTGACAAAAATGACAAAAAATCCAATTTAACTGTGAATGAAAATGACAGACAAAACTGTCACTAGGTTGGAATTTCATTCAGTCAGCAACTTTCACTTGCAATTTATATTATTTGAGGCATAAGGCTAGTATCTTTTCAAATTTCAATCCTTCATATTTTCTCAATGACTCGACCGATTTTCAAAAACGAAGCGGGAAAGTATAGAGAATAAAAAACCCTTTTCATTGCGGTACCACTTGCCCCCCTTCCCATTTGAAAAAAGTTGGGGGCTGACACCCCCGCTTAGAAGGTTGAAGATTTTGCAATAATTTTTGGGGCAAAAGATGCCCCCCTCACAAACAAAATTGACGTGTTTTTGGATTTTTTGAAAAAAAATTATCCTGGCCGTTATGCCTTGCGGAACGTTTTCGATGGGCCACCCTATATAAGAGTGCATTATTTATGTTGTATTATATCAAACCAACAAAATAAATTCATTGTTTACTAGACTAATATTACTATTATTAAAACTAGTTAACCATTGTTAAATTTGATAAATTTTAACTTAAAAAATCTTTTACGTTACTGGTGAATACCCATATCAAAGGTGACAATTTTAAGGTAATAAAATTAAGCTGTGTATTTTAGTGATTGCGGGATTTAGGAAGAATTTTAAAAATTATATCTGTTTGAAAAAGCTATAAATTGGAATGATCGATAAATTTAACATTATTAATTCGTAGCGAATTGACGTAAATAGGTGAAGCAGCAGTGTCGAAAAAATGAAGCAAATATTTGTTATTTGTTTAGTAATTTTAGGCGCAACCGGAAGTGAGAAAGAATGGACACTCTTTAAGGTAAGTTAGTTTCTAATATTATTGAATTATTATTTAATAATAAGTTTATTTAACTGCTGTACTACATTATTATACTATACAGGGGGTTCCATTATTCCATGGACATAGAACTACTACGTATTTTTGGAATTATAAGTACCATTGCGATCAAAAAAAAGTAGTACAACAAAATATGATTTAATCTGCTGGTCTATAATAAAAAAAATTTTAAATTTGAAAAATTGACCATTATTAAAAAGTAGGTAAATTTATTATACTTTTACTAGCGTGTACCAGCGACTTCGTTCGCGTCGAATTAATCATTTGTAATGGTGATGATAAAGCAAAGCAAGAATTTCCATTAACATACAAACTCGATAAAATTTTCTCACATTTATGTCAACATGAGAAAAAACAATATGGCGATATTATTATATAACTTGGTAATATTTGAGAGGTAGTTTCATCTCGTTGGAATTTGACTTTCGAAAATTCCGTTTGCCAAAAATAAGCTTTTTACGTCAAGCAGTTTAAGCAGAATCGTGGTTAAGAAATTACCCATCTTTTTGGAACACCCTGTATGATTTTTAAAAAAATTTCAAAATATGTAAAAAAAACAAATAAATTATGCTTGTCCAAGCGTTTTCCCGAAAGACTAACCGTTTTTTAAATAACAAATATTGTAATATTTGAGGGGCGTTTTCACCCTCTTGTAATTTGAGATTCGAGAAACCCCTCCTTATCGAACCTCTACACCCCACAGTCAATCCGTTTGCCAAAAATCAGCTTTAAACGTCAAGCAGTTTAAGCAGAATCGTGATTACTCAATGGTCATATTTTATGAAACACCCTGTAACCCTGTGGTTAACTTTATAAAAAATCTTAAAATATGTAAAACAACAAAATAAAATATACGTGTTTAAGAGTTTTTCCGAAAAACTCACCGGTTTTTGAATAAAAAATATGTTAATATTTGAGGGATAGTTTCACCCCCTTAGAATTCGAGTTTCGAAAAATCCCTTCTTATCGAACCTCTACACCCTAAAGTCAATCTGTTTTCCAAAAATCAGCTTTTTACGTCAGGCGCTTTAAGCAGGATCGTGATTAATCAATGACCAGATCTTTCGAAACACCCTGTATACATTTTTAAAAAATCTTAAAATATGTAAAAAAACAAAATAAAATACACATAGTTTAAGCGTTTTTTCGGAAACTTGACCGTTTTTCAAATAAAAAATATTGTAATATTTGAGGGGTGGTTTCACCCTCTTGGAACTGGAATTTCGCAAAATCCCTTCTTGTCGAACTTCTACACCCTAGAATCAACCTGTATGCCAAAATTGAGCTTTTTACGTTGAGTGGTTTGAGCAGGATCGTGATTAATCAGTGTCACTTAAGGATTTTATATATTATAGTCTATAAAACGAATAACTTTGAATTTGACAGTTCCCGCGGGCTTTTCTAGTGTTAATTTTATTAGGTTAGCAACTTGCGGCCATGCTGACGCAATGTCGTCTCTAATAGAACAGCCTAGGAACGAGATTTATGACGTCACACTAGTTAGATACTACAGATTAATAACTATGTTGTAGAATACATGGAAAACATAATTATTCCTCGATTTGTTGGTTTGTATTTTAAAAATTATATAGTTTACATGAAATATACATAATATACAGTTAATAAATACAATATATATATATATACCTATTTATATTAATAAATACTTTGGCAGATAAACTATGAACCCTACAAATGCAGCAAATGTTTTACAATATGACTGAAATCGTACTCCATAGTTAATGTAGAGAGTTTTTGTGTTAAGAATAATAATTTAAAAAAATATGTGGTCATCTTTTGACAAGTTTATATTAGTTTATTAATTGCAGTAAACATTATAATATATAAATAAATTTTGTGAATGCAAATAATAATACATCACTATTAGTAGATATTGAATGTTTTTTGTTAAATTAGATCGATTTTCGACCCCCAAAATTTAAAATATATTTTACATTTTACCCATTATCTTATGTTCCACCTATTCATTATTTGTATATTGTAAAACATTTGCTGCATTTGTATGGTTCATGTTTATTAGCCAAAGTATTTATTATAATAAATATGTATATATCATATTGTATTTATTAACTGTATATTATGTATATTTCATGTAAACTATATAATTTTTGAAATACAAACCAAAAATACGAGGAATAATTATGTTTCCATGTATTCTCCAACATATTTATTAATCCGTATTATCTAACTAGCGTGACGTCATAAATCTCGCTCCGTGGCTGTTCTAATAGAGACGGCATTGGTCTAATATTTAGAAATGTCAAAAGCTGATGACATTTTACTTTTTGTCAATTATGACATTTCGTGTTGATTTTTGCAAGAAGAGGAAGAATTGTCACTTGTTTTATTATTTTCCTTTTCTATTTCACGAAAGTAAAAAGAGTTACCTATCTGATTCGTTCAGGCTAGTTCAGGCACTGAATTTAAAGAATATCAGTAACTTTTTTGACAGAGGGATTTTATATTTGCCATGTTGGTAAAAAATAACGGTCAAAATTCAAAGTTATTCATTTTATAGACTATAGTATAGATTTCGCCACGTATACCTACCAATTATTACCAAATGCATGGTAACGTCTAAAAAGTTAGGTGGCATAATTGTATTGTTTGCATAGTGACTACGATATCCACTTCTCTATATCCTTATAGATCAGGAGTTCTATCTGGGACTACTAATTCTTGTACTACTTTTTTTTATCGCAATGGTACATTGGACACAATTTACCTCTATACAAAAGTGCTTCGATTGTCCGTTAGAGGGCGTCAAACTTTAAAAAAATAAACACATTTTTTAAGATATTTTAAGAACCGTTATTCCGATTTGAATGAGATTTGGGGTCTTTATGTTTTGCTAAGCTCTTTAACAATTAACTTTCACAAAAAAAAAACAGGAAAAAGTACGGGAAGGGTGTGATAAAAACTAACCCCATCTAACATATTGTTTTAAATTGTTTTTTAGTCAAAATACAAGAAAACTTACTTAACACAAACCGAACAAACACTAAGGGAAGATATTTTCGAAGACAATCTGCTTAAAGTAGAAGCACATAACGCAAAATACGCACAAGGACTTGTCAGCTACAAATTGGGTATCAACTAATATGCTGATCTGACAACAGAAGAGTTTTCAGCCTTATTTCAGCCTATATCCTATACTAAAACTAGCACAGATAATTCTAATGCACGTCATAGTTTTGTCGGTGATATTCCTTCTTCCATAGATTGGAGATCATATGGAGTGGTGACTGATGTTAAAAATCAGGGATCTTGTGGAAGCTGCTGGGCTTTTAGTGCGGTGAGTTTTAAGATTTTGCCAGGAACTCAAGCAAATCCTATAATATATTTGTGCTAAGAACTTAATTCCTTAATTAAATCTGATTATTTTTTATCAAAGTTTATTACGTTTTTATGTTAAGCCTTTTAAAATAAAAACATATCCGGCTGTATTATTTACTTTAGGGTTATACAGGGCGTCCCAGGCTGAGCGTGCATTAGAAGTTTCTAGATAACTACAATATCTAGATCGGAGGTTTTTTGCTCATCATTGTTTTACAACGAGATCTATCAATTAAAAATATTTTCAATATGGCGGCACTTACTATACCGGTTGACAGCAATTTTTTTATTTTAAATGAGTGCCCCCATTTTTTATTACATACTTAAATTCTCTGTAAAATTCTATGAATATTGATGTTAAACACTCCATACCTAACATTAAATGTTTTTGAGAAAAAAAATATTTAAAATTTTTGGACGAAAACAACTACCTGTCAAAAAAATGTGTATAGCCTAAAAGTCAAATTTAGTGATTACCATAAAATAATAAATACAAGAAGAAGTGTCAAGTCAATGTTAAATTATGGAAACAGCGTGGCTGCCTGGGTAACTAATTTTCAGATATGGCGGCTGGGACATGTGACATGTACATAGACATGACAATTTCAATTTTATGAAATTTATTTCCGTTTCCGGTTTTTAATGGCGGGCTGTTCAGGAGGTTTAAATGAGGGTTAATATACTTTTTACTCTTTCTAGTAGTAAATAATACAACAAAATTACTCAAAAATATTTATTTGGAATTTAGAACAATGTAAATATGCAAATCAACACAATTAAAGAGCTATAAACCAATAAACTACTGTATCAATATTAAATATTTAAATAATATCAGAGATGCTGTGTTAAAGCGAATTAGTAAAGTAACAGTGCATTGACTTACAGAAACTTGAAGATAAATAAATGTTTTCACAGCTTCACGGATAAATAACTGGAAGCAGGAAAAAGGCAACCGGAACCCACACAAAACCTGGAATCAAAAAAAATATGTAAAAAATATAAATATAGGTACCTACATAAGACTTTTGTGAATTAAATCAAACAGGACTTGAATGAAAATAAAATGAATAAAAAATATGATACATATACATCTAATACCTCATTTGTATTTTAAAAATAATCTACATACATAGATTTATAGCATTATTGCTATGAAAATACATAATAGGTACCTATGTGATATGTAATTACGCATTTCTGTTCATCTTGTAGAAATTTAACGTAGGCTAATAATAGTTCAATAATCATAATTTACCTTGTATAACTTGCTTTCAATTGCTCAAAATCACCGATCAGTCTTTAAAGTAGAGATACGGAAAAATCCTTGAAAGAATATCCCAAGATCCTTGGGTTTAAAGCTAAAAAAATATAAAAACAGTTAATATATTACCTATTTTTACCTATAATATGGCCCATACCTGCTACACGCCGAAACGTCGATTTCATCATTTTCTTCATGTAATTAATATCATATATACTTTATTAAAGTGTTAACAAGGAACTTTATATCAAAAAACATCTTTGTACTTATAAATTTCAGCCGAAATATCAGAAACAAACTTCCAATCAAATCTAAACGGCAAAAATTAAAATGGCGCCCGACCTTGCCAGAGGCCTCGGGGAGCTGACGCTGACACACAGACAAAAAAGAACAGGACGCCGACGTGCAAAAAATTTTCCGTAGCAGAAATTGACAGAAATCATATAGAAATATTCAGATTTTTGTCTAGGACAGTCTAGAAGGCCATGCTTTCTGCCTGGGTAGAACCGCGCCACAACTGTTTCCAATTTTCCGGTTTACTGTCACCCCCCTGGTGATTACTACAGCCACTGTGACATAATGAAAAGACATGTGGCTATCTATTTCAAAAATTAAATTTTTCCAATGTCATATAATAATGGCGGTAGCTGTCATGGAATTGATCGTTTAAAAAATTATCATAAATCATTTTTTTCAAATGGAAACCCACTTTTTTATTTCATCAGTGAAAAGGGTTTTCAATTCGTTGCGTTTCGACTATTTAAGATTTAGTTTCTTTCAAAACGTATATTTTTCTTGATTTTAAATAGCTTCCTTGGACATTAAGTGATTTGACATCAGACAATTTATTTCCATCTGTCAGAAAACTAATTATTTGAATGTCCTGTATTATAAATACTGATGCCTTAAGAGTTTAAAAAGTGTATTTCTAAAAATATATCGTATGATCGAAAAAAAAACGGCGCAAAGATGGCTTGGAAATGATGATCGATGACATACTGTTTTTTGAATCTATTGTTTTACATTACTTGACGTTTACAGTCATAGGCTACTGGTTAACCTGCCTTTAGCGCTGCTTGGCTGTCTATGAAGATGGCTACTTACATTAAGGTTTATTTATTTATATTATTTTTCTGCATAATAATAATTGAATTACTATTGAATGCCATTGGAATGCTTATTTTCACAGAAAATGACACACTTATATACTGCGTTTTTGGCTTCCTTTAAGATCACTTTACATAATCTTAATATATGAGTAAATATATTTCGATAATTTCAGAGATATTAATAAATAAATAAAAAATATATATTTTTGAACCTTCAATAAAAAAAAAATATATTATAAATACGCATAAAAACTGCCCAAAAATCAAAACTATATTAGGTATTTACTTTAGATAGTCTGTACTTACTTTGCTATAAATATCGTAATCTAAAATCATACAGGATGTTCAAAATTCTACGCCAAAATTTTTAAAATATGAAATAATTGTACTTAATGAATTCTTCTTTGTTTTTTCAAATGGAACACACTGTATATTATTTTTTTATTAGGTGTAGAACTAAAAAATTGACATTTTTTGTATTTAATGTATTACAAATTTTTTAATGGTTTCGCAGATACACGCAGTATTATTTCATATGGCACTATCAACGGTAAAACACGTAGGAAAAATCATTGGGTAGCTTTGATAAAAATTTACCTTGGAAAATGCCATATAAAATATATAACCGCGAATATCTGCAAAACCGTTAAAAATTTTGAAATACTCTAAATACAAAAATGTTCATTTTTTAATTCTCCATCTAATAAAAAATAATATACGGGGTGTTCCATTTGAAAAAAGGAAGAAAAATTATTTTTTATTTTAGAAAGTTTGGCGTAGAATTTTGAACTTCCTGTGTAATTTACGATTACCATATTTATAGTAAAGTAAGTGCAGATCATCTAAAGTAAATACCTAATATATTATATTTTTGATTTCAGGACAGTTCTTGTATTTTTAATATTTTTTTTAAGAAAGACTGAAAAAAATATTTTGTTTTATTTATTTATTAATATCTCTGAAACTATCGAAATATATTTACTCATATCTTAAAATTATGTATAGTGATCTTAAAGGAAGCCAAAAATGCAGTAATATACAGGGTGTTCTGTTTAAAAAAAATCATCCCGATCCACTCACATTTTTTTGAGCCACCCTATAGAAGTTAAAATAATTTCCTGAAATACATCCTAGAACATAATTTAGATTTGCACTTAATCAAAATGCTCAAGTTTTTTATTCTTGGAGATACAAATGCCCGAGGTACTATTGCCGGACCCTGTATATATTAACTTATTTCTGTTTTAATTACTCCCAAATTTAACACTAAATCAACTATTTTAGGCTGGAGTTATCGAATCACAAGTTGCGATAAAATCAAATAAACTAGAAAGTCTCAGCGAACAATATTTGGTCGATTGTGACACTGCAGTAAACGTAGGATGTGAGGGTGGTGTAGTCCAATACGCTTTTGACTACATAAAAGAAAACGGGATAACTATCGAAGACAGCTATCCTTATACAGGTTCTTCTAATTCCACTTGCAAAGCTTCTTCCAGTAGTGTTTTCATTGATGGGTACGTGGACATTCTGTATAATAATGAGACTGATCTGAAAGCCGCAGTTGGTACAGTTGGTATGTATGCAATTATATTAAAACTTAATAAGTAAATTATTTTTACATTGTCCTTTATGTCTCTTAAGTGCTGTTAAGGAGATGAGTTTTGTTGATATAAATAATAACTGTTTATATACAGGGTGAGTTTTCTACAATGTTATTTATGGGTATATCGGAAACTACTGGAGATAGAGTATCGGTTAAATGGGGAAAGAATTGCAGTTTTGTGGGGTCGTAAATATGCGCTTTTCATATTTTTGAAAAAGTTCATGGCTTACTAGATATTTCGAAAAAAAAAACAAATTTTGGCTATTTTAAAAATTTTCCCTAATTCCATTATAATCTATTTTAGACAAAAAGTTTTCAGATAAAAGTTGTAGATAATCACATCCCTGATGAGTTTGTGTTCTCCGATTTTTTCTAAAGCCTGTCATTTTTGACATATGACACGAACATATGATTTTTTAAACGGAAACCGTAGTTGGCTATGACTTCATAAAAAGCGCCATTTTTAAGTTTTTCAGCGATATAAGCTATAATATGTTTTTTTTACAAAATTACTTAGTTATAACCTAAGAAAGATAAGAGTTATCTTTCTTGACTAATTTCACTTAGTTAGTCATGGAAACCAGTTCAATCGTCGTTGCTAATTATTGGTTCAACTTTTCTTGGCTATACAGTTTCGAGGATACGTTGACCGGTAAACGTTATTTACGTTTTTTAGAGAACGGTTTTCAAGACAGGCTAAATTTAGATACTCGCGCATTAATAGAGTTCTATGTGAATAGCTAGAAATTCAGTTTTAAAAAGAGGCATTTATGTACTCGAAACAATGGCGGATATTTTGAACATTTTCTAAAAGTGTAATGTAGTGATATTATTTTTTTAAGTTTTTTAGTTTGTGTAATGTAAATTGTACAGAGCCGTTTAATACTATATTTTGTCTTTTTATAAGTTATAAATCATAACAAAATAAGAACACCAAGCCAACTAAGTGAAATTAGTCAAGAAAGATAAGAATTGACTATAACTCAGTAATTTTTTGAAAAAAAACATACTATAGCTTATATCGCTGAAAAGCTTAAAAAATGGCGCTTTTTATGAAGTCATGGCCAACTATGGTTTCCATTTAAAAAAAACATATATTTGTTTCGTATGTCAAAAATGACAGGCTTTAGAAAAAATCGGAGAACACAAACTCGTTAGGGATTTGATTATCTACAACTTTTATCTGAAAACTTTTTGTCTAAAATAGATGGATTATAATGGAATTAGGGAAAATTTGTAAAACAGCCAAATTTTTTTTTCGAAATATCTAGTAAACCATGAACTTTTTCAAAAATCTGAAAGGCTCATATTTATGACCCTACAAAACTGCAATTCTTTCCCCATTTAACCGACTCTCTATCTCCAGTAGTTTCCGAGATACCCATAGAGGACATCATAGGAAACTCACGCTGTATATAATTACTTGAATATAATTTATGCAAATTTTATATAACAACATTTGTCAAGAAATGGATAAAGTTCACAATATATTAAAAAAATAATTTGTATTTCTAGGTCCAGTCTCTGTGGCGATCAAGGCAGATTCATTTCAACTCTACGAAGAAGGCATCTTTAGTGATGTCTGTAACGGTAGTTTAAACCATGCTGTCATAGCTGTGGGTTATGTGCAGAACGAGACAACCGGAGAGTCTTATTGGATCATGAAAAATTCTTGGGGCACCAATTGGGGAGAGAATGGTTACTTTCGAGTAAAATTAGGTGACAACCTGTGTGGAATTACAACGCAGTCATGCTATGCTGTTTACAGTTCTGCCACTTCAACCGGTGTTAATGTTTTGTTTATGTTTGTATTGGTGAAATTAATTATTTGTATTTATAAATAAATATAATAAAAATTCATAAAATAATACCGTATGATTGAAAAAAAACGGCGTCCAGTTTTCTTGGAAATGACGATCGATGATATCCCCCATATAATTTTACATATATAATGACAGACATCTCCATTTCTTAGCCATCGCTAACGCCGTTTGTTTTTCGTAGGTAGATTTTTATATTGTATTATTATTGTACCAGTGCTTATTGAAGATCATATTTTTGTTAATATTTTATACATGTTTAATTTTTTATCTCAGTAACTTTGAAATGGAAGTAGTTTCGAAGAATGTAATAGTGTTTCAATTAAAATAAGAAATATGATACTACTTTTAACATGAAGCGGCAATACACAGTAAGCTGAAAATAATTTAGACAGTTGGAACAGTTGCCTTGATGTAAAAATCCTAATACTCAAAAAAAAATCTACCACTGATTCCACATTTCTCGAAATACTTTCAGAAGTAAACTCAAATATAAGCCCGTTTCATAAAAACTAGTTCCCACGTTTCCTGAAATTGATCGAGACGCGCCGTGATTGGTTGTTTGTTTTTTATTTTACCCAGATTAACAATAAAAAACAAACAACCAATCACGACGAAATATAAAATTATTTATAAATTTTTCTTCGAAAAAATGATGATAAAACAGTTTCTGTTGAACTTTTGGCACCAAAACAGTTGAAATTTATGATTTCAGTCTATAATAACTACACACACCGGAAAAGTCTAGGGATATTACAGTTTTATCCAACCATCGTCAGTAATTTTATTATTTGCATTTCTGATATAATAAAATTAAAATGAACATATATAGTTTACAGGACGTATTGGAAATAAAAATGCGAAATTTACCGAATTTTTCAAATTTACCTTGATTTTTATTGAACTCAAAAAAATACACACATTTTTTTTAATTCTAAACTGTGAATTAAAAAAAAAAAAGATAAAACCAATTTTACTTAATAAAGGGTATGGCCTCCTCTACTGTCCATTACAGCCCTACGTCGTCTCTCCATGCTCCTGATCAGGTTGTCGATCTCTTCTTGAGGTACAGTCTGCCACGCTGCATTCACGGCCCGAACCAGATCCCTATGAGTTCCACGAGGCATACCCATTCTTAAAATTCTTCTTTGGACCGCGTCCCATACGTGCTCGATGGGGTTGAGGTCAGGAGATTGTGCCGGCCAGGGTAAGATGTTTAATTGATGAGCATTGATAAACTCACTTACCACTCTGGCTGTATGAAGCCGTGCATTGTCATGGATGAGAATGAATTTTCTCCCAAAATCATTGGCATATGGTAACACGACAGGCTTAAGAATTAAATCACGATATGTGATTCCTGTTAGAAACCTTTCAAGAAAAACGAGATAGGTTTTTCGGCCTAACTGGACTTCTCCCCAGACCATAACTGTTCCACCTTGATAAGGGTGCACTTCCTGAACACGATCCAACCGAATAAGATTTCCCGGTTCTCTCCATACCCTAAGCCTTCTCGAATCCGGATGAATTCCAAAGCGTGACTCATCCCTGAAGGGAACATTGGCCCATTGTTCATTCGACCTCTGAACATGATCTTGAGCCCACAAATATCGTACCTCTCGATTTTCTCTCGTTAAGGGCTGAGCTCTCCAGGGGCGTCTGCTTCTTAAGTTGACCTCTCTTAATCTATTGCGAACAGTGTCAGGACTAACGGTTACATTATGTGTTTCCTGGAGAATTAAACTAAGCTCTGGTGCTGTAAGAGTCGGTCGGCATCGAGCATTTAATTGTAAAAAATGATCTTGCTGAGGGGTAGTAATGCGATGTCGCCCTGTGTGCCTTTCAGCAACATCACCACTTTCACGGTGAACTTAATCGCGATACTTAGCATACAGCGTGCACTTAATCGCGATATTACACTTTGCGTTGCATTTAATGCTCTAGCTACGTCGATTTGGCGCAATCCAGCTTCGAGCATGCCCATGGCCCTGATCATTTCGTCTCTGTTAAGATGTCTACGCTCCGTAATGTCGTTTAATACTAAACAGAGTTATTTGAATGAATTCTGGCCAGTTATCATAAAAACATAGCCAGTACAGGTTAAATTCGAACAACTGATGCTAGGTGCTTTTTATACATTTGACAAAAAATGCACAAACACTTTTGCAAATATCCCAAATTTAGAAATAAAAAGTGTGACTACTTCGTTTCAATCGAAGTAGAAGGAACCGGCCTACAGCTATGTGGTTGTTTATTCAAAACATTTATTTTTAACTTTAATAAAATGATATCCCTAGATAGTCAACATGTTTAATTCACGTAGAGGCTGTAAATGACGTAGGGCTGTAAATGATGACAGGTATTGATAACTTCGATTCCAAATATCTCGATAACCATAACTCGTAGCTATTTTTACAAAGAGAGTTTTTTACGTAAAAAACGTCGTAAATGTATGTTTTTTACTCGGTAGTTTTATACAGGTACGGACGAAAAATTACTCTTCAAACAAGTTAAAAAACATGTAGGTGGCGACCTCTACAAGTAAGAGTCATATTGACATCAAAATCAAATTCACTATGTCAAAAAACTGCCAGACATCAATTTTCATCCAAATATAGACGTTACTTGAGAAATTATTTGGAAAAAATTAAAATAAAAATAAAACTTTAACACCCAGTAGTTGAAACCTCCGAAACTAAGCGTTTTGGGACATACATTTATACGAACTTTTATACTTATTTTTATCTGCAGAATATGCTGCCGAAGTTTCCGGAATACACAGTTCGGACCACGCTGTATATTGTATGTGAATATTCTTCTAGTAGTATATTAGTTTAATGGCCACAGCTGCCAGGGCTATCCGGCCGGATGGTAGAATTAACTACCTACGGTTGAGCGTTTATATAGATGACACACAGACGAGGATCGCTATAAAGCGAGCCTGGGAAATCCCATACCCCGACTGTTGAGTTAAAGAAAATGTTGGCAAAGGAAGATCCTGCAAAATAAACAAATTTAATAACAATTTCATTTAAAATGTCAAAGATTAATTCCACAACTATCTAAGAATTCGCCTATAATATAACTACAATTGGATGAGTATGCAAAGCGGAGGTAAAATTATGAGGGGATGTTTTGTAAAAGCCAATAAGTGATTTATATAGTTTATCTACTAAAGCGGGAAATTTATTGCATTCAAAAAAGATGTGGTTTAACGTTCCAATTTCTCCTCACTCACATAAGGAATCTGCATTTACACCTATACGATGTAAATGGGACGGAATTAGACAATATCCGCTTCTTAATCTGAAGAAGGTTGTCAATCTTTTCTTTGTAAAATCTTTACATGATCTAAACCATATGCTTTTGTAGGGAAAAGTAACAATTTCTGCATAATTTGTCCCTTTTGTACAAGAAATCTCCTTCCATCTGCCTTTCCATAACGACCAAAACTTTTCCTTAAGAATTGGAATAAAATCAGTAAACCAACATTTAATCTCAGCATCTCGACCATCTGTCTTTCCAATATTTGCTAATTGATCAGCTTTATCGTTGCCTAAAATATTCGTGTGACTGGGTAGCCATACCAATGAAATTCGAAATTGTTTTTCTCTTAACTCAAATAGTTTACGTTTTGTAGCAAATGTAATTTGACTGTCCTTAAAATTAGGATAAGCTGCTAATGCTCGTAAAGCACTTTCACTATCACTAAAAATTACAGAATCCTCCAATTCTTTGCTTTCAATTACATTCAATGCCATCATAATAGCAAACATTTCTCCAACAAATATGGAAGCATATCCAGGAATCATATAGGTGGCTTCCAAATTTAAATCCGGGCAAAATATACCCACTCCAACATTTTTATTTACTTCCTTAGAAGCGTCCGTAAAAAACTTTATTTTTTGCTTAAATTTTAACTCAATAATTTCTCTAAATTTAATAGAATTATTATCACTCTTATTTAAATCCAATCTTAAATATTCATTTTTACTAAAATAAAGAGGAAACTTATAATAATGATGCATATTAACAACATCAACATCTTGAACATGAGGAAAAATTTGATCAATGCCTTCAATAAGAGGAGGAACATGATAATATCTTGACCAAAAACCAAATGATTGATTATATGCCCCATAAGCTTCTGTAACAGACTGAATAATGGGATTATCCTGAATAGAGAATGCTTTTAAAAGCAATTTAGTGGCCAAAAAATTACGTCTAATATTAAGGGGAAGTTCTGCCGATTCTGATAAAATGATATTAGTAAAAAAAATGTGACATCAATGTGACATCAAATTTGACAATGACAAACTTTAAAGTCTCTTTAAAAAAACCTAATACAATTTTTTCATAAAATTGTGGGATCGCGCCTGAATACGCCCCTGGCGTAGACCGCGCGCGCAAGGTCAAGCCGACGACGACGAGTGCAGCGCCGCGCCGACGCGAAAAGAAGTCAGTTGAGTTTGAGTTTGATGGTGATTTACCATGTCGGGAGCTGGCGCACGACGAACGACGAAATTACGACGAAAATACGACGCGATTATTAATCTATTTCCTTTATTTTATTTTGTTTAAATAAATAGTTAAATTTATAAACTCTTTAATTTCCTCTCCTGCCAGTATCCCACAAAATCATCCGGGGAGATAATTTTGACCTGTTCAAAATTTACGTGGGATTTTATATGTCCCGTGTTCCTATGCATCACACGGTATATTATAATATTAAATAAAATGTATTCCACCATATAGGATAATCCTATTCAACTTTTTTATTCTCCTTCTCCCATATACCTTACAAGACCTTCCTCGCGGCCTCTACGGACCAAAGTCTGGTCGTTAATCAAAACCTGGACCCGAACCTCGTACAAGAACGAGTAACAGAGTAAAAACACATCTCTCTTCTCTATCGGAGCCCTCTACCGCCGCCCTCTAAATAACTAAAAACGTATAATAAGTGGAAAAGTTCGGCTAGCGCGTCTCTAAAACAACAAACGGCGAAGATTTATATCGCTTATATAACTTT